TAGGGCTGGGCTGTTTACCTGGCAGTAGTTGATGATTGTGCAAACAGACACTGTATTGGGCTGTGCCAGGGTGTGTGTGGGTGAGACCAGGTGCTTTGTACAGGTGGTAGAATGATGCTTCAGTGGCTCGGCTGCTGTCATTCTGGGCTGGGACATACGTTTGGCTGAGCAGTTAATCAATCGGATCCCTCGGACTGGACCAGGAGATGGGAAGAGCGAGTGCAGATATAGAAGTTTCAGAAGAGCCGGCCATCCTCCTCCTCCTCCTCCAAACCCTGGCTCTTGTACGTCCCCCGCTTCCATAAGCAGTAGCCTGGCGTAACTGAGAGGCGTGCGCGCTCCAGTCTGCTCCCCTCGGGCTTGGCCCTTTGATAGTAAGGATGCTGCTGAGGTCAGGGGGGGCATGGCTTCCTGTGTCCCCCCTGAGCCAGCTCGCCTGACTTCTCTGTTGTTCCCTGATGGAAGTCCTTAAAGCCATCAGGTGGGGGACAGACCCAGGCCCCAGAGGGTTTCGATGGAATGAGCGGTGCTAACAGATCGGGCCATTTCCAACTTTATAGTCGGTCTGAGGCTCAGAAGAAACCCAGCGTCCTCTGAAAAACAGTACATTAAGCTGATTTTGGATCTGTTTTTATTAATAACTGGTTAGACTTTGTTCCCTAAGCAAAACTTCTTGTGTAAGCTTCATTGTTTTGATTTCTTTTTTTATCTGACAGCGTTTTTTAAACTAAGAGGAGCAGTTATTTTCTGTTCCCCAAAGCCTATTCATGTGCAGTGTGGGTGTGAATGGGAAATGTTATTTATTGCACACACACACTTATGTACAGAGTTTTGCTTATTTAGATGGAGCTTATAGAGAGAGCCTCCCACATCAGGAAACTAAAAGGAAGGCTTCGTGGCTTTGAAGTAGATGCAACAAAAATGTTTCTATTTTGTTGCCCAAATTGGTCTGCTGTAATAAATCTTGATATTGTCAAAATTGTTTGTTTAGTGTTAAGTTGCCTAATATATTTTTAATTTTCCAGTGGTGGTAGGGTAAAATTAGAACAATTTTATTGAAATTCATCCTTTGAAATTTTCTTTGTAATGCATTTCCCAATGTACCAAATAGTTAGAATTAACATGACTTTCATTTTTATTGAAATTTTGCTGACATGGCTCAATACAAATTTAGTTGGGTGATTTATATAAGTGCATTTTAAAATGATCTTTCAAGTGATGATAGCTTATTTAATTTCTAAAGAGGGAGAGGTATTTTGATGCACAAAAACCGGAGGTTTTCAACCAGGGGCGATTGGCAATGTCTGGAGACAATTTTGATGGATCCAATGGGGAGGGGGTGCTACTGGGTGCTAAATGCACCAGACAGAACAAGGAGTTATCTGGCTCTAAATGTCAGAAGTGCTGAGCACTGAAAACCCTTTATATAAATATGCTCCTCTCCTGAGCCCGAGCGCCCCCCCAAAATCACTCCAAGGCCAGAGCTCTATGATTCAGTGGAAGATGGAATTACAGAGTCCAGGACGGAGGGACCTTTTATTTAGACATTAAAGGAGCTCACCTTGCATGCTCTGAAAAACCCAGTCTCTAAATGAAGACTGCAAAGGTCCTTCCCTGGCACCTTACCACAAAGACCGTTTATAGTGCCTTTATTTTAAGAATAAAGGTAACATATAGTCTGAAAATTACAAACTTCTAAAAATCACCTGTTCTCATTAAATGTGCTTCCCTTCGTTTTCCATGGCAAACATGTAATTTCATCTCATCACCATTGAACATCGTGTCCCCTTTTAGCTGTTCCTACACTGGACACGGCATCTCCTCCTACTCTAATCGTCAGTTTCCGGATCCCAGGGAAGGGACGTGTCTCAGGCACTGGTGGTATTTTTCTCTACCTTTCCTTCAGGAGGCAAAGATGTCAGAGCTGAGATGAGAGTTCACGGCTATTGTAAATGTCAGACAGTTCCGATGGACAGTTGATCCATGTAACTCGCTTCATAGGCAACAAATAACACCTGTGGCTCCATTGTCCATTACAGCGCACTGAGCCTGGGCAGGAGTGGTGGACCCACCGGACAGGTGCCCCCCCGCTCCCACCTGCCCTCTGCATTCCTTCCTCTACCTTCATGCTCAGGATCTCTCACACCTACAGAAGTCATACGAGCCTCGTCATGGGTTGCAGCCCCTGCTCCGGTTTCTTGGCTCACGTTGAGTGTTTCCATCAATTGGAGCATTGAGTCAATGGGACTCAAAATATGGAGACTGTGAAATTTCATGTTCCCTCAAATTTACGCTTCTTCCTGTTGAAACGTCACCATATGCTCATGGCACACTCGTTTTGGAGATGAGGCCTCCTTCCTTCCTTGCATAACCACTTTCTTTACCGGGATCCTAATCGCTTCCCACCTTTGCTCTTTCTGGATCTTGTTCTGTGTGTATCTCCTCCCTCTCATAAATCTATAATCTCTTTTCCACTCACCATTCTCAGAAAAGAAGCCACAGGTAATGATCTGTATTCTCTACCCTAAAAAGTTCCTAACCGTGATCTTTTTGTGCTCCTCTGATTTCATTGAATTGTCTTTGGTTCCCTAGCATTCAAGGGAGCCATCCACATTCCAGCCCACTGTCGCTCATCCATTCTCTTCTCCGTTCCTATATGGCCCCTGTCTCTTGTTCGGCTGCAACAGCCCCACTCCCCACGCCCCGGCCCCAAAGGTGATCCATGACTGCCTGTTGACTAAAGCCTTTATCTTCACTCTACCTCATTGGGATGCAGACCAGGCCTCTTTTAAAATGTGTTCACTTTATATTTCATTCTAGCTTGATCTCTAGTTTTCCCTTGATGCTCTGTCTCTGCTTTCCTTGTCTCATCTTTGTGTGGTGACTTTTGAAATTGCAGCTTCTAAACAAACAGTTCTCTTTAGTCCCCACCCCCATTCCTCTCCTTGCTTCCCTTGGTGGTGAATCTTTACCATATCCTGATTTTAACCCTTCCAAACATTATATGACGTCTCTGAATTCTTTTTTTCTGGGCATCCAGCCTGGATTTTCCACAGTCAGCTGCATTTCCTTAAGCATTCTCTCAGCATCTTAAACGCAATGTGCACAAAGCTAAATGACCATGTTCTCCTCTAAACAAAATTCTCCTCTTGATTATCATAATGAAATGAATGGAATTATCATCCTCACAGTCACTTATATTCTCTGTCTTGAGACCATCGTCCTCTTTGCTATCCCTCCAAACTTTGCGTATTAAACAACAATCATTTTCTCACATTTTACACGCTGGGGGTTGGGAATTTGGGCAGGGCTCAAGTAGGTGATTCCTTTGCTCTCATGATGCTTACTGAAGTCACTCAGTGGCTTTCAGCGTTCCTCACATATCAGGTGCCTTGGTGGGGATGGCTGGGAATCGGGGCTCAGTGGGAAATGTCACCAGGCGCTCCTATATGTGGTCCCTCTAGCATGCCAGCCTCAGGGTAGTTGAACTTCTGACCTGGTGTCTCAGTGCCCAGAGAACATGTTATAAGAGATAAGGAGATTACCAGTCTCTTAGGGCCTGGGCTTGGAAACTAGCATACTGTCACTTCTGTTGTATTTGACTGAACCATACAGTCACAGAGCCAGCCCAGACTCAAGAGAGGGGTCGCGGACCCACGTTGCAGTGGGAGGAAGTTCAGAGAATCTGTGGCCCTCTTTCGTCTGCCGTACAGCCCCGAACCTGTCACACCGAGTGCTGTGTTTGCCTGAATTTCTAGTCACATCGACACGACTCGAGCACAAGCCGCAGCTTCATTTATTTCTCTCCTGAATAGTTGCAGCAGCTCCAAATTAACTTCTCCACCTCCCTGCTCTTCTCTACCCAATTTCTTATGTACACTGTTGTAAGAATCATTTTACTAGTATTTCTTCTAATGTAATATTAATATGCGATGGTAACTTGTTGCCTAAAAATAGAGACCTCAGACCTTAGTATAGTTTGCTTTGCAAATCTTAACCCAACCTACTCTCTCAGCTGCCTCCTCCTACTCACCTCCTGGCGTCTGGGTCAAATACAGTAAACCGTTCCTAAAACACATCGCCTATGCCTTCCTGTGGCCCCTCCAGTGTGTCTTTTCATCCTCGTCCCTTGGCATGGAATGTACTTCCAGAAATCTCCATCCGTTGAAATCTGCTTTATCCTTCAGTAGTCAGCTCAAACGTGAACCCCTCCCTGGACGCATCCTTGATCCCCCTGAATAGCAGCGGTGCTCTCCACTCACCCAGCATTCCTGATTTTTTTTTAATGGTTTTCTAACAGCTTGGATTATAGTTATTTTTACAAGCCTACCTTGTTTTAAAGTGTATTAGTCTTTTAAATTATTCATAATCTTTACAGCCTCAGAGCTCCCAGCACAGTAATTTCATTTCACCTAGTAGGTGCTCAATAAAGATTTTATTTGATTCACGCTTGGTCTCTAGCCAACTTTGCAGGTAGGTCATCTATAAATTTCAAAGGGTAAATTCACCGAATATGGGTGATTTTAAAAAAGTTGGGCAGCATAATATTAATCAGTGATTTCATAAATGAAAATGGCCATAGCCTTATTAATAGGGTTTTTTGTATATTAAAAAGAAGGGCAGCAGTTCTTAGGGTTTCCACATATAGCTTTGTGTTTGTCAGAGGAGATGATGTGCTAAGGGAAGACCAATCGATGCCCATAGCTATCGAACTGCATTCCTTAGGAGTGCCTATGGTGTCTTGGTAGAGCTTAAACGTGAACCTTTCTCCTTTTATATATAATAAATGGGTTATCTCATAAAATTATTGGGAGAAAAAGGGGTCTTTTTTGAGATGCACATATACTCACACATATCTGCCATAAGACCTAGAATAAGTTCTGCTTGTCTCAGTCCTGTAAACTTTTTTTTTTTTAAGGTAGCGACGGGGCTTAACCAAAAGGCCACCATCAGGAAACCTGAGCTCGTGTTCATGCAGTTGTTCTCTTTGTGTGTTCTAGGTGCTTTCCCCACATGACGGGGAGACGAGCTTCTGGTTAGAAGACACGTGTCCAGACTCAGAGGCTCCTGTCCACCATGAAGGGAACCTGCGTCATTGCATGGCTGTTCTCAAGCCTGGGCTGGTGGAGACTCGCCCAGCCGGAAACAGGGGCCTCTCAGTGCCAGAGAGCCGAGCACCCGGTCGTTTCCTATAAAGGTAAGGGACAAGCATGCCCCGATGGCCACGCCACCACTTAAGTGCACTTTTCATTCTCAGTGACAGAGGACAGCAGTGCTTTTTGCTCTATTATTCTGTGACTCTTGTTTTAGACATTATTTAAAATAGGAACGACCATACAAAATTCTTCATTGCAAGAATTTCATTTCCAGAGATTGATCACTATCGCAAGAAGGGTTTTCAGGGCTAGAAAATAAATCCCACTATTGAGACCACCTTTATTTAACAGGTGCTGCAAGCATTCTAGGCGTTTGAACCAGGGGATAAATATGTGACCCACAGAAATAACACCAAAATCAAGGAAAACAAAAAATTCTTCACTTCAGCATTTCCCAAAAAAGCCTTCTTCTTGGCATGTAACGTATGCTTTTGTCTTTACCTGGCATTGCATGGCAGACAGAATTGGTTTAATGTCTTTAGTATCTCTGTGGATTTATAGGATTAATTAATTAGTATGTATAGCTACTCATTTATTCTTTCATTTATCAAAATTTATTTAGGGTTCTTTTTACTCTGGGCATTCAGCATTCAGGAGGAAAAATAAATTAGTTTTTGCCCCTGTCCTCAAGGAACTCACAGTTCTATTATCAAGCTAAGTGTAATTAATCAGGCATTGTATTTGAATAATGCATCCAATAAATAGTTTTATGTTTTGTTATTTTTAACCTTTGTATCTTGAAAAATTTCAAATAGATACAAAAATAGAAAGAATAGTCTGAGGAACACCAAGCCCTTGCACTTATTAATTCATGGCCTACCTATTGTCTTTTAAATCCTCACCCACACTCTACCCCACACCTGCCGAATTATTTTGAAACAAATTCAAGAAATCATATAATTTTATCTAAAATATTTCAATGCATGACCAAAAAGAATGGGAATTCACAATAAAACAGAAAAAACCCAAGCAAAAAATAATTCCATAAAATCATCAGACATTCAGTGAATAGTGTGAGATCCTTGATAATCTCATGAATTCTTATGTATTGTTTTTTAACAATTGGATTGAATCAGGATCTAAATGGAGTTCATATACTGCAATTGATTGGCGTATCTCTTGAGTGTCTTTTAATCTTTTACTGTTTTTTTTTTTTTGGTGGTTGTTGCTGCTCCCCTTGCAAATTTATTATTAAAAACAAAACAAAAAAACCTGAACTCTTTGTCCTGTAGAATTTCCCACAGTCTGGATTTTCCCAAGTGCATCCCAATTGTGTTTTGTATTAAATATTTCTGTAAATTCGTAGTAATATCAAGAGGCTCCTTAGATTCAGGTTCAAATCTTTTTGTCTCTACTGTTTCATGGATGGTGTTGTGTATGTTGTGTACTTCCATTAGAGGCAGATGATAGCTAGGTGTGAAATTAGCAGTCATCAATGATCCCTCCCTAAATTTACTGATCCATTCATGGGTGGAAAATGGGGATTTTCTCATTTTATTATTCTCTCTTCATTTAATGGAAAGAATATTTTTATATAAAGTAACGTTCCTCCACCATCTATTTGAATATCCTAAGGGCACAGCTTATATAGAATGGGAGAATAAATGCTTTTTTTCCCCCTTCTCTTTATCAAATATTTTTCTAAGATTAGTCAGTTGGTTCTCTAACATTATCCAAAGGGGACAAGCAAGGTTTTATGGTTGCTTTTTATTTTTGTCTTATTTTGATTATTAAAATCATTATTAATACATAGATTTAAATATTTGATATATTTCAAGCAATTACAGCTTTTATTCTTATAGGGCGAAATCATTGCACTCCAAGCCTATGGGAGTCCTGAGTTCTTCTGACACACCCCATGTTGCCTGTGACAGTTTGCTTCCTCTCTGGGACAAGGTGTTCCTGACCTGTCTTACCCATTTCCTTCCGTAGACCTGGGTATCAGCCATTTTAGGCTGATTTGAGCATGGAGGCACTCAGTTGTCTCCCGTGTACATGGCTAAGGAAGACATTTTTAAAAGTGCACTGTCAGTTCCTCTGGGTACTTCCGTCTCAGCTCCAGGTTTCTGAACCTCTTCCATCTCATGTCTACGTCTTTCTCTCCCGTGCACTGGAACCCGAGTCTCTGAAGACCAACATAATTTGCCTTTTCCTGAAATGCACACTCCGTTGTTTCAGAATAACAGTCTCATGCAACGCTCGTCATTTTTGACTACTGAAAACCCTGGAAGAGGATTTTCTTCTCTCCTTTCAGTTGTCAGGATATAAATTTCAGTGGGACATTAAAGCAAAATTAGTGCCTTGAAATAATTTCCTTTTGTTATGCCAACCCAAAACCTAGTTAGTTAGTTTTGTTTAGTTTTGCTTTTAATTTTTAGACATTAAAAAGTTACATTATTATGCAGTGTTCAATGTCCAATTAATGAAAAAAGAGGAGCTTAGCTTTGCTCTCTCTTTTCTTTACCGTTTACTCTCTCTGCATTTAGCTCACCTTTTACTTATGGTTTATGCTTCTTTTTAGATACAAAAATACACACACACACACACACACACACACACATTCATATCCTCCTTTCTTAGAAAGAAAGTTGCATATATACAAACTTTTCTCTGTAGTATTTTTTGACATAATGACATAATGATATATCCCGGAGGCCACTCCCTAGCAGTGTGGATTGACACCACTCCTTTTCATAGCCACGTGGATCTCCACGATGTGATAAATATAGTCTAGTCGGAAGCTCCCTATTGAGAGATGTTGTTTTCTGTTGTTTGAGAGAATGGATGATGTTACAGAGAGTAACACCTCCTGCAAACATCTTTTAATATCTTTGCAAGGCTACCACTGGGAGAGATTCCTAGTGTTGGGATTGCTAGGTCGAAAGACAAATGCATGTGTGGTTTTGTTAGATGTTGCCCAGTTTCCACTCAGGAAGGTTCTCCATTTTGCATTCACATTGTCCTTTATATAAGTATCTGTTTCCCACCAGTCTTTCCAGCAGAGTATATCCTCTGGCTTTGGGATTTGGCCTAATCTCTTAGTGTATAAGTGGCATCTCAGCTTATTTTTAATTTGCATGTTTTTAATTTAGGGTGAATGTGCAACAAACATTTAATAGGTGCCTTTCGGGTACCAGGGTCTGTGCTAAATATTGTGAAGACAGAGGCAAAAAAACACGGTCTTTGCTAAGAGTTTAAAATATCTTTATAAACCAGAAGGGCCATGACATTATACTGTATTAAGAGTCATAATGGGTGTCATGGCTGGATGCTGTGGGAGCCCAGGAGAGGGACAGCCGAACCAGACCAGACAACCTAGGCTGTCGGAGTGTGGTTAAGGCAGGTTTCTAGGATGAGGCAAAGCCAGAGCTGAGTCCCAAATGACTGTTAGAAGGTGTTTATGAATCTCATGAAGGAAGAGGTGTTCCCAGGAGAGGAGAAGAACTAGCACCTCGCCCTGAAGTGAGGGAGTGGAGCATAGCAGGGCCTGACCTGGGCCGTGTACAGCGAGTCATGAAATCTTAGTTTCAGTTTCAGAAGGAGGTAGAGCAAGATGAGGCGAAAGTGGTTAATGGGGCTCAGTGCATAGTATCAAAAGCCATCTTAAGAAGTCCCCTATCTAAACAGGCTCAGCTTGGAGGATGGCAGAATGGTGTCAGGGAGAGCCCATTCTGAGGCTGCTGCTGTGATCAAAGGGAGTGGTGATAAGAAACTGAGCTGAGGGAGCAGTGGCAGAAATGTAAAATTGGGTAGATTCTAGAAATTTGAGGGAAGTGTTGTTGATGATTAAAATGCTGGATGGACAGAAGGAGGAAGAGACCCCGGCGAAGGGCCCCCAATTCCTGACTGTTTGTTTCAATATGAAGAAAGAAGGGAAAGCAGTTTTAGGGGTTCGATGATTTTAAGTGGGGAAAGGCGGAGCCCCCGCCCATCAGGAGGATTGGCTTAGTGGAAACCAGGCCTTAAGGGAACCAAAGAGGGGGGACTTTTCAAGAGGGAGGTGGCCATCTCATGATGCAGAGAGTTCAAGGCTGATGTGAGCCAGAAGGCAGAGTGACAAACTCATCCTGGCGTGCCCAGCACTTTCCTGGGTTTAGCACTGAAAGTGTAATCTTCTGGGGAAAAAAAACAGGACAGAAGGTCACCCTCTTAGAAATTCTGTAAGCAATGGTGTATTAGTTTCCTGGTACTGCTCTAACAAAAAAATAACCACCAACTGGGTGACTTAACACATCAGAGATACCTTCTTGTATATCCCTGAAAGCTGTCAGTCCAAAATCAAGGTATTGGAAGGGCCGTGCTCACTCCAAAGGCTCTAGGGAAGAACCTTCTTTGCTTCTTCTTAGCTTCTGGTGGTCGTTAGCAATCATTGGCATTCCTGGGAGTGTGGACTCATCACTCCCAATATCTGAGTCTGTGGCCACACGGTTTTCTCTGTGTGTCTGTCTGTTTGTCTTGTCTTCTTATAAGGACACCAGTCATATTGCATATGACATTTATAACCCACCATAACCCATCTTAACCGATTACATCTGCAAAGGCCGTTTCCAAATAAGGTCACATTCACAGATATCTAAAGTTAGGACTTCGAGGTATCTTTGGGGGTGGAGGGAAACACAGCTCCCTAACAAACAGCATTTATCAGCACAGGTTTAGGGCAGTGCAGGAGGAGGAAACCAGATGGCGATGGGCAGAGGGATAAACATGGGATGAACACATAGATATATACAAGGAGAGAATTATTGTCTCAGCCAGGAGGGACATGAGAGTTGGGGATTTCTTTTAGGGGAGCATTATTTAATCATCCTTAAATGGTGATGAGAAGAAGCCAGGTGAAGGAAGAGGCTAAAGAGAGAAGAGAGAGGGGGAGATGCAAAGGCCCTGGGCTGTGGGAGGAGGTAGGATACTGGGCACAGGCGGGGGATTAGCATACAGGAAGCAGACACCAGCTTCGGTGAGCCTGGAGGGAGGGAGGCCAGGGCGCCCAGGATGCAGGGAAGTTAGTGGGTGGGAGTGGCTGGAAGGAGAGGGCGTTCCTGAA